TCTATTCAGGTAGTGTGAATTTACATCGGAAGCAGATGGGTGTAACCGAACGTCTGAAGCATTAAGCTTTTAATTATAGAGATTTTGGCCGCTCCACACCCTTCATATTGTAGGTGTGGTAACCTTGTTCCATACTTGAGTAAGGGTGCTGAGCTTTGAGTCAATTAAATTGTTTCAAGCCGAAATCGTGCCTCAAAAGATTGCGCCTCTTGGATAATAGGGAGACGTGCAAGAGGCTGCAAAGGCTTGCCGCCTCTGCCTTAAGGATAACCTAAGGGACCGATGGATCTCCTCGCACCTCTAATTGCCAAATATCAAGCCACGCCCACTACATTCGCCACATCCTGGAAGAGAGCCAAAAATCCAAAAATCTTTGAATGAATTGAGAACATGGGAAATTAGCGTAAAACCTTTCAAAATAAAGAAATAGATTTTTAGTACGTAGGGATGGACAGTTGGAGGAGAATCAGTATAAATTATTTTTCGAATTGAAATGCAACTTTCAAAACCGTGGACTGAAAGTACCAAACAGTCATACGATTTCCAAATCAAGCGTTTACAAATAATGTTTCCTATTAAAACAAAATTAACGCAAAATGTATTTTTGTTTGATATCATCTTTAAAAGTTTGTTTTGATGTGTTACTAAGTTCAGAGCAATCGATAGGCGTTTTGCTGACCTTGCTAGGTGCGAAGCAACACTCCAACACCTGTGGTGCTTCGCAGATATTTTTGCAGCAGAAGATGATAAGTAGACATAATCGAGGCAACGATTAGCAAATCAATCTCGTCAGAAAAAGCAATGTTGGAAAAATTTTTTAAAATATAAATTCATGCAATATAAACAACTAAAAATAAAACATTTATATAGCTTTATCAGAAGTAAAACGTGCCATTTTTCGGCAGAACTTTCCTACCACCACAGTGGTGAGGAAGGAGGAATTTCGCAGTTCTTCAAAACTAGTCATAGCTTCGTCAATTTTCTCGCGACGAAGGCGATCCTTCGACGTAGTTCTTTCCTTTCATGCGGGAACTGAAAATAAGTACATTTTAAACCGTACTAAGATTATTAGTTCAGCAGCAGACAAACTATCTCCATCCGCAATAGAGTAGCTTTTGCAACAGAAGATGCTACGAATTGCTAAGAGTAGCTGAAGAAGCGGTGGATATTTTTTCCCAATAATTTTTCTTAGGCGCCTGAAAAATCGTCTCTTTGCAATTTGGTTGGAAAAAACAAACTTTCTTGCGACTCACCCATGATAATTTTCAGCTATATTTGTGGTTCGCAGGTCATGAATAGAGAATTTATTCCATATATTTGCAAACGAGCCGGTAAGCCATGTATCATTTAAATATTTGTGAAAATTTAGGCAGGGCTC